CCTCCCTCCATTCCTAGCCCTCCTCCCTTCCTCCTTTCCTCCCTTCGTCCTTTTCTCCCTTCCTCCCTTCCTCCCTTCCTCCCTCCCTACATTCCTCCCTTCCTCCTTTCCTCCCTTCTTCCCTTCCCCCCTTCCTCCCTCCATCCCTTCCTCCCCTCCTCCGTTCCTCCCCTCCTCCCCTCCCTCCGTCCTTCGTCCCTTCCTCCCGTCCTCCCCCTCCTCCTCCCCTTCCTCCCCCCTCCTGTTCCTCCTCTCCTCCTCCTCCTCCTCCTCCTCCTCTCCTTTTTTCCTTCTCCTCCCCCTCCTCCTCCTCCTCCTCCTCCTCCTCCTCCTCCTCCATTTCCTCCTCCTCCCCCTCCTCCTCCACCTCCTCCTCCTCCTCCTCCTCCGCCTCCTCCTCCTCTTGTTCGTGTTTGTAGTAGCATGCTTCTGCTTATTACTATAATATTAATATTACTGATATTAACAGTTGTATTACTAATATCATTAGTATTCGTATTAGTGTTATTGTTAGTAGTACTAGTATTAATAATATTATTAGCATTGTTATTATTATTATTAGTAGTAGTATTACTATTAGTATTAGTATGAGTATTATTAGTATTATCACCAGTATTATTATTAGTAGTAGTATTATTATTATCAGCAGTATTATTATCAGTATTACGAGTATTAGTAGTATTATTATTAGTAGTATTATTATTGTTATTATTATTAATAGTATTATTATGTTCATTATTAGTAATAGTATTAGTATTAGTATTAGTAGTAGTAGTAGTAGTAGTAGCGGTATTAGTAGTATTAGTATTATCGTTGTCACTAGTATTATTAGTATCAGTAGTATGATTATTAGTATTATGATTGTTTTGGATTGTGACTAGTAGTAGTAGTAGTAGTATCATTCGTATTCTTAGTATTAGTAGTATTATCCGTATTCTTAGTATTATTAGTATTAGTGTTCTTCGTAGTATTTGCATTATTCGTCTTATTACTAGTGTTAGTGATCGTATTAGTAGTCTTAGTCGTCTTATTCTTCTTCTTAGTATTAGTATTCTTATTATTCATATTATTTTTATTATTACTATTAATACTAATAGTACTCGCCTTCGTATTATTATTCTTATTGTTTTCATTCGTATTAGTATTGTTATTCTTCGTAGTATTCTTATTAGTATTATTATTATTATTATGCCTCCTTCTCCTCCTCCTCCTCCTCCTCCTCCTCCTCCTCCCCCGTCTCCTCCTCCTCCTCCTCCGCCTCCTCCTCCTCAGCAGCATCTGCATCAGCATAATCAGCATCATCATCAGCACCAGCATCAGCATCATCATCTGCATCATCACCATCACAATCATCATCATCGTTAGCATCATCATCATCATCATCATCAGCATCATCATCATCACCACCACCACAATCATCATCATCATCGTCTTCATCATCATCATCATCAGCATCATCATCATCATCATAACCATCATGATCAGCAGCATCGTCATCATCATCATCGGCATCATCGTCACCATCATCATCAGCAGCGTCGTCATCACCATCATCATCATCCTCATCATCAGGATCATCATCGTCACCATCATGATCAGTATCATGATCAGTCTCATGACCATCCAGAACAGTATCATTACCATCAGCAGCAACAGCGATACATCATCATAAGAATCCTCATTCATCAGCAGCAGCAGCATCATCATCAACATCTTCATCATCATCCTCATCGTCATTCCTCATCCTCCACCTTCTCCTCCTCCTCCTCCTCCTTCTGCTCCTGCTCCTGTTCCTGCTCCTCTTCCTTTCCCCGCCTCCCATCTTCTCCTTCTCCTTGCTTATTGGCTGTCCTGAGCCAGGCCGAACGAGTCTGCCAGGGGCAGGTGCGAGCGGATGTAGAAGAGCGACGTGCCATCGCGCAGCCCCTCATCGAGAACCTCCAGCGGGAGAAGATGGGGCCTCCTCCTCCTTATCCCCTGGGCCAGTCGGGAGGGCGGGCCGGGCGTTTCGCTTGAGACTTTCTTACCGCTTACGAGCCTCAAGCTGACAAACTGGCAAAAAACAAGAATGGAGGGCGGGTCGCTTCCAAAACGTGGCTCTCGCCTTAGCGCAACGCACAGTCCTGAAAAAAAATCGCAAGAGCTTCGCGGATTGAAGACAGGTCGTTTTCAAAATGTGGCTCGCGCCCTAGCGGCGCGCACAGTGGTTTCAAACATTTACAACAAAAGCTTCACGGATTGAAGACAGGTAGTTTTCAAACTGTGGTTCTCGCCTTAGCACCGCGCACAATCGTTCTGGAACTTTCCAGGAGTTTCATGGACTGCGGCGGTTCTTTTGAAAATGTGACTCTCGCCCTAGCGCCGCACACGTTGGTCTTTACAAGTTACTAGAGCTTCACGAATGGAGGGCGGCTCCTTTTCAAAATATGGCTCTCGCCTAACAGCCGCGTACATTCGTTTACCATATTTGCAAAACTTTCACGGGTTCTCATGGTTGACGTACGAGGGACCGTGCTTTGGAGCGGTTCAGGATTGTCAGGGCGCAACAGTTACGTACGTTGATTTGCGGTGTTGAAGTCGCAGGTATGGTGCTCTGGCACGATTCAGGATCGTCAAGACGCGACAGTCAGGTTGACTCGTGGGGTTGGAGCGATAAAGTGACTTGGCAAGCTTCAGTCTCATAAAACGGCTGTCTCCCAACGAGGCACTTCCCTCAGTAGAAATGAACTCTTGTAGCGGCCTATGACGAGGGAGCCTGGAGGGAGGGTATATTCCATCATCGTTGAAGAGTCTTGGCTTTACACTGGTCCTCTTCCTCCTCGTCCTCCTCCTCGTCCTCCTCCTCCTTATGTGCCTCCTGCCACCAGCTCTGCCCACCCACCAAGCCCGAGCCTTCCCAGCCACAGCGTCGGAGCGGCCGTGGTGGATATCGATTTGGCGGGCAGGCGGTAGGGAAAGGCAGACGCGCCCACTCCGCTCCTCACTCTTCGGCGACTGCCGGCTCGACGCCTTCTTGCGCCGTCGTGACCGTGCCGTCTGCATGCAAGATGTACCCTCGGCCAGAGCGATCATTGGCGCGCGGCTGCAGCGGGCGCAGGGGGTTGGGGGGGCCTCCATGGAAAAGCGGGGGCCACCTTGGGCCAGGGTCACCTCTCGGCTACACGCAAGAAAGACCCTACTACACCCGCCACCAGCGCCGTCCCCAACATTATCGCAATCGCATTGATCTCCGTGCTTGTCATCACCCCCGACCTGCACGCCTTCGCCGAATCCGACGTCCCCCAATGCTGGTAAGCGAGCGGGTGACGATATTTCAACTCGCTGCTTCAACACTCTGGAGGACGGTGGACTCGTCGAGGCCGACTCTCGCCCTGGCTCCATCCCCCTCCCCCGTCGCCTCATCCTTGCCCCTCCTTCCCCTCCTCCTCTTCCCATCCTCGCACCACCCTTGGCGCTTCTTCCCCTCCTCGTCCTCCTCCCCCCCCTCCCCTCCGCCTACCACACCCTCAGCCCCTTCCCACCAATCCACCGCCTCAGCAACATCCCAGACCCTCGGCGCCGTGGCTTTTCGTCCGCAACGTGGGCCCCTGGGCCTCGACCCACTCCATGGGACTCCGAGTCGTTTGGTGGACGCTCCCGGGGCCCCGCGAGGCCCTCCGGGGGCAGAAAGTACCAACAAACTTTCCGCCGCGACTCTTCACGGCGAAAGGGAGTCTGGGAACCTCCTCCCCCTCAGGGGCGCGCAAGCATGGATTAGCGAACCATGGACTTGGCGCGCGGTCGCCAAATCCATGGATCGGGGGACGCACCCTCCCCAAAATGCGGCCGGTGCCGCCTCGCTCGGCGGCGGAATTCCGCGACTTCCCATGGAAACGGGACCCGTCGCTAATCCACGCCCCCTTGATCCATGTTCGCGATCGCCTGATCCCCCGCGCCCCCCCCCCCCCGCAAAACGGTTCCCCCTCGCCGTCCTCGGCGGGAGGGAAGGGGAGGGAGGCAGCCGCCCAGGCCTTTGCCCTGCGCTTGCCGAGGACACCGTAGACCTTGCCGAGCATCTCCTGCGGAGCCGCTCCCCGCGCCGAGGGCGCGGGGAGAACCAGAACCACGAAAGGGGGGGCGAGGAGTGGGGGGACCGAATTGAAGGGGCCCCATATATTTTCCTATATTTTCTGGGTGTTTGTCTTCCCCCCCACTTCCCATATTTTCCCATATTTTCCTGGGAATCGACGATTAGTTGTGTCTGTGTGTGTGTTTTTGTTCCCCTCCTGAGAGAGGGGGGGGGGCGAGGAGTCGGGGGGACCGAAGGAGCCACGCTCGGGCGGACATGGGCGAGGGAGGAGCCCAGAACGGCACGGGAGAGGGCAGGGGAGGAGGGGACCCGAGGAGCCACGCAGCTGCGAGAGCGCAGCGGCAGCTGCAAGCTGCTGCAGCACCGGGAGGATCGCGGTGGCCGGCGACGGAGAAGAGCACGGGGAGGAGGAGGAGGAGGAGGGAGGAGGAGGATGAGGAGGAGGAGGAGGAGGAGAAGAGGGGGAGGAGAGAGGAGGAGGAGGAGGAGGAGGAGGAGGGGAGGAGGAGGAGGAGGAGGAGGAGGAGGAGGAGGGGGCTGGCGACCCAGTTCGCGCGGTCGACAGAGGCGCCACGTGCGTCGAGGGAGGGGCCCGGCGGCGGGGCCGAAACCAGCTGCGCGCGCAGGCCTCGCATCCGCTTCGGCGGAGCGGTCGGCGTCGTGTTCCCCGCCCCCCTGTCGTTGTCTGGGCCGGGTGCAGTGACCCGCCAGGCTGCGACGAGCGCGCCGTCGCCGTCGCATGCGTCACCCCATCGGTCTTCAGCGCGACCGACCTGACCGTCCTGGCGGCCCCAGATCGTGCCAGGACAGGGGTCCTGCGATGTCACCCCTGCACATCCTCGTACTTGCTGCATGCGCGCGGCGCGAAGGCGAGAGCCTCGTGCTGAAAAGAAACTGCCCTCAATCCGTGCCACTTCTGCAGAGTTCTGAAAAGAGTGTGCGCAGCGCTACGGCGAAAGCCACAGTTTGAAAAAGAACCCTCAATCCGTGAAGCTCTTGCTTCTTTGAAACGAGTGTGCGCGGCGCTAAGGCGAGAGCCACGTTTTGAAATCAACCTGTTTTCAATCCGTGAAACGCATGCAAATGTTAGAAACAAATGTGCGCGGCGCTAAAGCGAGAGCCACATATTGAAAACCATGCGCCCTCCATTGTTGAAAATGGCGCAAGCTTTTAAAACGAATGTGCACGGCGCGAAGGCGAGAGCCACATTTTGAACCCGTCCTCCATCCTCTCAGCTGGCGCAAACTTGTAAGACGAATGAGCACGGCGCGAAGGCGAGATCCACATTTTGAAAAGGAACCGCCCTGCATCCTCGAAGCCGTTGCAAAATGTTCATACGAATGTGCGTGGCGCTGATGCGAGAACAAAGTTGTGAAAAACACCCCCCCCCCACACTCCTTAAAACTGCTGCAAACGTTTATAACGAATGGACGCAGCAAAAGCCACAGCTTGAAAAGGACCAGAGCTACTTTGAAGAGGCCTAGGGGCACACAAATAAACAAACACAAATCCAAATATTCCCCATATGTCATATATGTCCTGGATGTTCGTCTTCCCGTCCACTTCCTATATCATCCATACACCCCTAGGATTCGACGATGCGTTGTGTCTGTGTGTTGTTCCCCTCCTAATACTCATGAGGAAAATGGATGGAGGAGGAGGAAGAAGGGATGAGCGGATCTGGAGGCGGGGAGGCGCAGGAGCGCGGGAGAGGGGCGAGGGAGGGCAGGGAACGATGGAGGAGGGAGGGGGGGGAGGAAATATGGGCGGAGGAACGACCGAGGGAGGGAGAGAGTGCTGGAGGAGGAAGTAAGGAGGAAGGGAGGGGGGGGGGGGGGGGGGGGGGGGCGCCCAGGGGGAGAGGGGGAGGGAGAGGGGAAGAGGAAAGGATGAAGGAGGGAGGAGGGACGGCGCCTCCCACCCTGGTGTTGAGAATACCTCCTCGATGGGCACAAACAGACACACACAGAGACACACGCTCCTCTCGTGGAGAATGTGGTGGTGCCTCTGTCCGATACGCCTGGCCCTGGTGGAAAGGGCTTGGTGCCAGGACCGCGGATCCAGTGAGGGAGGGCGAAGGGAGGGCCAAAGGGGGGAGGAGGAAGGGGATAGGAGGCAGGAGGAGGGAAGCCGAGGCCTCTCCACCACATCGGCAGCGCGCACGAGAGGGCGCGGCGCGAGGAGCGAACGAACAAAAACGAACGCCACTACAGCGAGAGCTATCCCATCTGCGGGGATGGGCGTGTAGCGTTAAGTCGGGCGTGACCACGCACAGGAGGAAGATTCAAAAATAGTCACGATTCGAATATTTTCATGTGTCGTCCAAACCCGCGTGTAGAAGGACATGCCCGACCTAAGTGTAGCGCCGCAGCGCTCAGAGTGCCTGGGCCAGGCCTTCTAGGCCAAGCCTTCTAGGCCAGGGGCCACCTTCTGGGCTGGGGGAGCTCCTGGAATGGCGGGGGCCTTCTCAAAAGGGCCCGAGAACGCTGCCTGGAGGGAATGCATCCAAGAAGCCCCCCTGCCGTCTTGAAGCTTTCCCCGCCTTCTCAGAAGGCCGCCCCCGCTCCCCGCGCTGCCCCCTCGCGTGCGCCGCCAAGGAGGGGCGCGACTGTGTCGATCCGGCGCTCGCGCGTCCTGCTCACACTGCACGTCCACGGCCAGCATGACCTCGCTCACCCTGGCAAAACCCCGGCGGAAGAGGCTGTAGCGGCAGGCCTCCTTCGTTGCCACCATAACCTGCAGGAGGAGGACGCGGAAGGGGAAAACAAGGGAGGAGGCGGAGGGGGAGGAGGAGGAGGAGACGAGGAGAATGAGGAACAAAAAAAAAAGGAAGAAGAAGAAGAACAGTAACAAAGAAGACGAACGCGAGCGCTTCACGCGCGAGCGATTAGATTCCCAGGGCATCGCATGAACAACGGACTCGATATAATTCCACAGTGATCCCCATATCCTCCCCCCCTCCCTCCCTTCCCTCTTTTTCTCCGCACCCCTCTCTTACGTCTCCAGACTCTTCCTCCGCCGCGAAAGCAGTTGCAGCAGCAGTAGTCGCAGCGGCAACAAGTTGAAGTAGTATAACAAGTAGCAGCAGTCCGCCACCATGCTCTTAGCACGAAGTGGAGTTCCTCAAGGCTCAGAACTGCGCTGTGCTGCAACCTGGATTCTAGACTCTCAAGGGGCTGGACTCCCGGATTCCCAGGCGCTGCCTGGCGCTGCCAGGCGTTGCTGGGATGTTTCGCGTGGGCCGGTACAGTGACTTTGCTCAAATCGACCAAGCCTCAGATGCGCCCAAGGAGGTCCAAAAGGGCTCAAAGACGGCCCCAGAGGGCCCTAAGACTGCTCGCGATACCCTCAAGACAGCTTGCTCTGGGAGACCCCAGCCCCGAGAAGCTAAAGTCATTAATTTTCCGTTGGTTTCTGAAGGACTTTAGCTGTCCCGCCTCTTCGGGTCCCCGACGTTCCAAGACGGCCCAAGAGGCCAGCAAGATCGCCCCGTGACGGCCCAAGCGGACCCCCAGACGGCACAAGAGGGACCCAAAATGGACCAAGAGGCCCCAGGAGGGGCCTGAGAGGCCCCCAAGAGGGCGAGCTCGAACTGACACGTCGCACTCTCCGCCCAAAACTGACCCCCGAGACCGCCAGTAAGCCTTCAAGGAGCCCCCCCAAGAGGCCCAAACAAGGCCCCGGGAGGCCCCCGAGAAGCCTCGAGAGGCTCCGAGACCCCCCGGACCGCCTCCAAGAGTCTTCTGGGAAACCGGCCTACAACATAAGCACGGCGGCGGGATAGGCCGTAGGCCATTAGATAGCAGCAGCACGGCAACAGCAACGGCAATAGAAACACCAAGAGCAGCACCAGCAGCACAGCCGTTTTCCGATTGCAGCTTTAAATTACAACGAGCGCGTAGAAGCCTCCAGGTCAGGGCCGCAACCTTCTTCAGTCTGAACCAGACTGGAAACGATAGTATAATGTTAGATTGACCAGAGCAGAGGAAGAAAATGGTGCAATGTAACTGTCACGTGTACATTCGACGTTGCCGCTTTACGTTGGCGAGCGCGCGCGCGTTTCGGCGCGACGCGGCACGAGGGCGCATTCGCTATGTCGCGACAATGGGCGGGAAGCAGCGTCCTGCCAGCCGCCGCCGCCAGCGCGGGAACGCCCCCTGGCGTCGCTGCCGCAGTCGCCTAGAAACCATTTAGAAGCCGCTAGAAACCTGTCTAGCAACCAGAAAGATTTGCGTAGAAACCAGCCGGATCCCTTAAAAAAAGAATGCAGACTCTGGGAATCTAAAAACGCCCTCCGGTTCCTGTGCAAAGCATGGCGGCTCTAGACCGGTCTCTGCACTGCCTGCACGCCGCGCAGCGTCGCTCCAATGGCGACGTCGCAGCAGTCGCACCGACCCCGGCCGCGCGCTGCGATCTCGCGCGCGTGCGAGGCAAGCGGCGGGCATTCTGCGCGGCGTTGCTCGGGGAAAGACAGTCCTCATCGAACGGTTCCACTGAAAATCCCACCAGCCCTCTGGGCTTAGATGGTATAACGCGTTTTTGTTATTCTCTCTTCCACTGAAACCCCTCCCCCTAACCCCCTCCCCTGGGCCTGGACGGGGCGCGCCGCGAGGCCTTGGAGCGTCCAAAACGGCCTCGGCGAGGAACGGGACACGGCTGTAATAGCAGTTCCAGCAGAAGCAGTAGCAGCAGCAAGAGTAGTGGCAGTGGCAGCCATGCGGCACCTCGCATGGGGCCTCAACAATAGGGCACCAGCCCCTGTAGCGGCCATAAGCACCGAACCAAGGGTACCCTAAACCAACCATTGGACACCACCCAGGGGGCACTGACGATAGGGCGGGCTTGGCGAAGTCTTCTAGCGGCCTCTTGGGGTCATCTTTGGACTGTCTCGGGCCCCCCATCATACGATTGCTGCCCCTCCTCCTCCGCAAGATTGCTCCTCCGCCTTCCCCTCCTTCGTCTTCTTCTTCCTCCTCCTCCGCCTCCTCCTCCGCCTTCTCCTCCTCCTCCTCCTCCACGAGCTCCTTCTGCCTGCCCCCTCCTGCTCGTCCCTCTCCTCTTCTCCATCTCCCCCGCCTCCCCCCACCCCTCCTCCCTCTCCCTCCCCGATCCCCCCCTCAAGCCACGTGGGCTCGAGCACCGCGCCCAGATCTTCTCGTGGTGCTCGAGGGGTCCGCCTCAGATGTCGGCAGGCTCCCGCCCAATCGGCCTGCTCGACAGCTCGCGCTGCGGCCAGCACAATGCGGTAGGGCCAGGCGCCTCGGGCGGTGGCGAACGCGGGCTGAACCTCATGCGTGGCGCCGTTTTCGCTGTCCTTCACCGCGCAGTACCTTTCCTCCAAAGGGCTCTTCCAGGCGCGTGACCTGAGCTTGCAGCCATCCGAGATGCCGCTCAAAGAGCTGCGGCATTTGGTGGTCCCGCTGACATTCGTGCTGGAGATGGTCATGTTCGTGGTTTGGCTGCCGATGTCCGTGCAGCCGCTGATTTGGAAGCCTGGCGCCTTCTCCGACCTCCATGGGGAGGGATGTCGGATCGGGGGCTGCCAGGGCGCGTCGCCGCTCATCTCATCGCATCAAGTTCAGCATGCAAGAGCGGGGCGGAGCCGGCGATGTCCGTGGTGCCGCTGGTGTTCGTGGGTGTGACGACAGAGCCGTTCCTCTCCTCGCACACCATGGTCTGCTGGCAGAGCTGGACGCTTCCACTGGTGCCGCTGACGCTCGTGAGGCCGTCGACTCTCGGGGCGATACCGTCGGGGCGTTGACCTAAGGAACCCTAAATAAGGAACGAGGCCCCTTTTTTCCATAAGTCAAAATTCGATTTCCTATCGAAAACATAAGGGAAACCTGAGGCAAGCTGTGAAACACTTGAGGAACGCGGAGCCCCTCCCCAACCAAAAGGGTTCCTTCTTCAGGGCCCCGACTGTAGTGCTCGTGCTGGAGCCGCTGGCGTTCGAGGAGCTGTCCACCGCCATGGGCACCGGTAGCACCGCCCGTCGGAGTCGGCCTTCTCGCCAGCTCGCGCTGCGGAGGGTGCTCCTCGAATGGCGGTGGAGGCCTTCCTCGATCGGCATCGGGGAGGCGCAGGCAGGGTAGAGGTCTCGGCTGCGCATTGCCGTTCCAGGTCACCCCCCACGGAAGGATCCGACGGCCCTGGCGTGCCAGAGGACCCGCTACAAGCTTCGCCAGAGCAGATGGGTCGTGAGGTTTTTGCTGCAGGGACGTTCTCCGCAGGCCTCGCGCTCACAGCGCCAGCCTGTGCTGTGGGTCTGCCTACAACTCTTTCGCGGTCGGCCGTGCGGCGATCGAGGCTGGGTAGGTTTCTCGGCTGAGCCATTTCCGTTCCAGGCACCCCTCGGGATCCGACGGCCCTGACGTGCAAGGGGACCCGTAACCCAGCGCTGGCAGAGCAGGTGGTCGAAGAGGATCCAGGTGTAGCTGCTCCGTACCACAGGCCTTGAACGGTCTCGGTTTCTTGTTGTCGCTTTACGTTTTCGGGCTTGGCCATGGGCATGCACCCCTTCCTTTGTGTCTGCCCAGCGCTAGTTCCTGCAGGGGTTCTCGTACGCCTGACCTTGGGGTGCGGGGCGCTTCTGGAGCCAGGGCTCTCTGAGCAGCCCAGGGCCGTCGTGCACCCATGCGGCACACCTCGCTGGGGCTAAGTCCTCTGCTCGTGCAGGCGCTTCGGCAGGCAACTTCTAGGTGCGTGCTGTTCCCATCTCGCGTATGCCTTGCCCCCCTTTTCTTCCCCCTCGTCTATCGAGCCCTCTGGCGTGTTGGTAACGCACTAGCTCTTTCGATGATTGCCAGGCCGCTGCGGTTTCACTCAGCAGTGTGTAACCGGTTTTGTGCAGCTGACAGCGTGTGTGAATGAAACGTACCATTCGGGAGGCGGCCATCCTCAACATGCTGCAAAGCCTGTCAATGCTATTGTGTACCGGAAGTGCGCGTCATCGACCCCACTTGGGGGCACCAGAAGGTACCGATACCGCTACTCCCCCGACCTCTCCCGGGGTGCGTTCTGACCAAAGTGTCGAGGCGAATCCAGCGGTGACGACGAGGGCCTTCCAGGAGGCCGAGAAAGAAGAAAACGGGGCGAAGGGTAGCGCTAAATATCAGCACCGATTCCTCATCTGACCCTTCGCACTCCCCGATCCTCCCCGATCCCCGATCCTCCCCGATCCTCCCCAAGGGCTCCCAACTTCGCGCTTCGCGCTGCGCGAAGCGCGAAGTGCGAATAACTTCGCGCTCTCGCGCCGCCTCCAAGGGGAGAAGAGGAGGAGGAATCGGAGCCGAACCGCGAACCGCGAAGCGCGAAGCGCGAATAACTTCGCGCCCTCGAGGGCGCCCTTGCTCCCCGATCCTCCCCCCTCCCGCCACGATCGCCAGGGGGCCGCACACCTGCCCGCTCATGGGGCCGTACGTGTCCGGGGGCGCCAGCGCGGCCGCGGGCGGCGCGCCCTCGGCCGCTGCGCCGGCGTCCTCGGGGCCGGCCGCCTGTTGGGGGGGGGGACGAGCAAGGACACCCAACTTCGCGCTTCGCGCTGCGCGAAGCGCTAAGTGCGAATAACTTCGCGCTCTCGCGTCGCCTCCCAGGGGAGAAGAGGAGGAGGAATCGAAGCCGAAGCGCGAAGCGCGAATAACTTCGCGCCCTCGAGGGCGCCCTTGACGAGGCACTCCCAGGCCTCGAGAAACTCGAACCTTCCACCAAGCTAACCCCCATGCTGGTGAGAACAATCCCCTCGGGACAAGAAAGTTCGGGGTCCAGGCGGGAGAATCCATGTTTGCCCGAGACATCATCGAAAAACTGGTCGTCGCGAACTCAGCGACTCTACGAAAATGTGAGACTTCGCCTGAGACATCTCTCGGGGATGGACAGAACCCCCTTTAGCAAAACGCGGTTTAGAGAAAACGACCCCGGGTCCAAACCTGGCGGGCGCAAGCCTGGAAAGTGACGGCCACGGCGCCCTCTCGAGAATCGAAAATGGACAATTCACTCATCGACGTGTCGGAGTGGGGGCTCTGCTCCAGACGTCATCGAAAAACTGCTCGTCGCGGCGTCGCGAACTCAGCGAATCTGCGAAAATGTGAGACTTCGCCTGAGACATCTCGGAACTCTCACCACGCTTGACGAACCAACAACGCACACACACACACACACACCCATACCCATAGAGGGATCGGAGAGGGCTATGGGTGGGTACGTGTTGTCGGATGGGGGTCCCCGCTCGCACGGGAGCGTTCCCCAGGGTCCGACAACAGGCACCCATACCCATAGCCAGTCCTCCTCCCGACGACCCCCCTGTGGGTATGGGTGCGCGTTGTTCGCTCGTCAACGCTGCCCTCGTCGTCCTGCCGTACGGAGCGACGAGTCAGGAGCTCCTCTGGCCACGGCCGGCCTCGGCCACGCACCGGGCACTCGAGCTAAACAAGAAGCGGCGGCTCGCAGGCCAGAGCCCCTGCTCGGCCCAGAGTCGTCCTCCTCCTCCTCCTCCTCCTCCTCCTCCTCCTCCTCCTCCTCCTCCTCCTCCTCCTCCTCCCTCCTCCTCCTCCTCCTCCTCCTCCCCCTCCTCCTCCTCTCCCCCTCCTCCCTCCTCTCCTCCCCTCCCCCTCCTCCTCTCCTCCTCCTCCTCCTCCTCCTCCTCCTCCTCCCTCCTCCTCCTCCTCCTCCCTCCTCCTCCTCCTCCTCCTCTCCTCCTCTCTCCTCCTCCTCCTCCTCCTCCTCCTCCTCCTCCTCCTCCTCCTCCTTCCAGGGTATGGTCGAGGGGAGGCGCGTGGCCGTGGGGCTGGGGGCGGTCCCTCCCTCCCGCCGTGCCCCCCGGGGAGCTCCCATGGTCCTGCCAGGCCAGGGCGGCCCCTGCTCGGCCCTGTCAGCGCCTTGGCCGCATGACGGTTTTCAAGGGGCCCAGGGACATGCAAACAAATACACACAAATAACAGGACTCCCCATACCTTCCCATATTTTCTGGGGGGTCGTCTTCCCCCCCCCCGCACTTCCCATATGTTCCCACATGTTCTGGGGAATCGACGATGCATTGTGTCTGCGCGTCTTCTTCCCTCCTGCCTGATAGCGTTTCGCCAGACGGCTCTGGCAGAAGAGTTAACAAAAACAGCAGAGCTCCACAGGGGGGGGGGCGGGGCACCAGTGCTGGCTGCAAGGCTGGTCCGCACGGCCGCGCTCCCTGGTAGAGAACACACCGCGGTGCACGTGGCCGCGCTCTCACCCCCCGTCCCAGCTGCGGCCCTTTTGCAGAAAAAACTAGGGTGCACATGGCCGCGGGGGGGGGGGGCCCAAAAATAGACACCACCACCAGCTCCCTCCCCACCTCCCTCTCGCTGGAAAGGAGGAGAGGGGAGGAATCGACGCGGTGGTGGTCAGTGTATGTACTCTCGGGGCCCCCAGCCGTGCTCTCGCGCCCCTGGCCTGGCCACGTTCCCTGGCAAGAGGCACCGAGGTGCACAGAGGGCCGTGCCGTCGCCCGTGCCCCCGCGGCATCTTTCCTCGGAGTCCCTGGGAAGGCCTAAAGTGAAGGGGCCCTGGGACACACAAATAAACACACACAACTAAGAGAACTCCCCCAAATTTTCCCATATCTTCTGGGTTTGTGTCTCCCCCCCCCCACCTCCCATATTTTCCTATGTTTTCCTGGGGGTCGACGATTAATTGTGCCCGTGTGTTTTCGTTCCCTCCTGAGAAAGGCACACTTCACCAGCCCACCCCCGTTAGCGTCCGCTCCATGCGAGCCTGCGCGGCCTCCGGCGCTGTGCGATTCGGGCCTGACCTGGGCCCAACGTGGACTGGATTTGGAACCGGACTTGGACTGGAGTTGGAGCAGGTTTGCCCCTTCACATGGGAGACAAGAAAACGGGGGGTAGAAGGAACATAGGGGGCAAACAAACCTACCTCGCTTTTGACCACTCTCGCTTCCAAGAGATACCAAGCGATGCCAAACTACGGCCTGCACTGGTTAGGCCGCTTAACGAGGATGAGCGTGGTATGACTTGGTTTTGCCTGGAAGCGAAAGCGGGGTAGGTAACTCACGCTCTGAGAACAGGAAGGGCGAGGAGGAGCAGGAGGAGGGGCCAAGGGCCTTCCAGGTGCGGTCCGAGTGCAGGAGAAACTGCTTTCGATGTCGCCGCCCAAGGCTCCCATGAACAGACATCGGAACCTTCTACTCCTCGACCCGCCTATTCACCTCTGCTGCCGAGCTGGTCCCGAGAAAGGATCGAGTCGACGGAGGTCGGGGGGGCTGGCTCAGGGGGAAGTGGGTAGAAAGATGAAGTAGGAAGGCGCTGGAAGCAGATTGGGCTTCCACCCGTCCCCTGGAGACGAAGGAAAAGAAGAAAACCACTCGATGCGTGAAGTAGGAAGGCGCCTGAAGTAGAAATTCAAAGTACCTACGGCAGGTCCGTGTCGTGTCGACCCGGGCGTTGGTTCCTGACACCGCTGGGATGGTTCAAACTTGAACGATCGACCCTTTCAAGAAGGTGAGGCCAGATCGTTCAAGGATGGGCCGATTCTGGGCCACAGGCCACAGGCGGCGTTCAACAGTAAACGCGCACGCTGGGGTCGCTGCCGGTCGGCACGACGCGAACCTGCCGTACTCTCAACGACCGATGGGTACAGTCAACCCGTATAGTAAGGATGCGCGATAAGGATACAAGGGCCTTGGACGCCCGTTTCGAAGCTTTTCGAGCGGGGCGCGGCCAGCGAAAGTGGCGAAGGATGGACCGAGGAGGCAAGGATGCAGGGGCACCCTTGGGAAGGTTGCCCATCCTCACTGTTAGAGGAAAAAGAACCAAGCACATACACCGACTTTGGCCAGGTCCGTCCTGAGCCCAAGATCGGTGCACACGCCCTCCTGCCTTGGCCAGGAAGGCATATGCACCGATCCTGGGGCCAAGGATGGGCCTGGCCAGGGCCAGTGCATGTGCACAGTTCTCTTCGCCCGACCTGTGCGGGTCGACTGCGCTGGCTTGGCATCGCGGCGATGCATCGCCGAATGGACTGGCGGCAGGCCCTCGCTGGCGAAGCCGCGCGCGCTCACCGGGCGCAGGGGGCCGCCCAGGCCCCGATGGGCGACGAGTGGGGTTCTGCGGCGTCGGATTTATGTCTGCGGATGCCACGACAATGGACAACCTAACAGTCCTGTCGTTGAGTTGGTGTCTTTCAGATGTCGGAAAAGTGTCATAAACATGTTTGACACCTGCTCTTTACATGCTTGAAACATGTTCAACACATGTTTTAGACATCTGGAAACTATTTGGCGACATGCTTCCTCTCCACTGATCGTCCTCCACAAGTCTATATTGCTCACATCGTACTTAAGGACCACATCCCAGAAATAATTTCGAGCACTCAGGAGAAGTATCGAAACAGTGTCGAACGAGTATCGCCTCCCAGGGCCCGACACGTGAAAACCCTCGTCTCTGGGCACTGTCTTGGCGCACGAAATTCTTTCTGGTGATCAAGGCTAAAGTAGGCTGGAACATCATGAGCGTCGGTGCTCCCCCCACCAGGCCATTTCCCCACGGTCGGCGCCCCTGACGCGGAAAAGGGCCTTCCCTCCAGAAGAGCATCCCCGACCAGCCCCGGGGAGAGCCCACCCTCTTGGCCCAGCTGGGGCTCCGTGCCCACGTGGCCTGCCGGAAGCCGTGCAGGACCAAGGCCACGCCCCGCATGGGCTCCTCTCGGAGCAGCGGCCCAGCGCTGGCTGCGCTGTCGGCGGCGGCGGTGGCAGGGGCGGCGGCGGCGACGGCCCCGTACTGGAGGCGGCGACGGCGGCGGCGGGCGCGGAGGACCGGGACACGCCCCGCGTGATGGGCCTGTTTTCCACCACCAGCATGAGTTGGAGGGGGAGGGGGTCCTCCTCCTCCTCCTCCTCCTCCTCCTCCTCCTCCTCCTCCTCCTCCTCCTCCTCCACCTCCTCCTCGTCCTCCACCTCCTTCCCCCCTCCAACTTCTGGTGGTGGTGGAAAACAGGCCATGATTCATCTCACACCGAGGGCTCCGCCAGGGCCAATCCTGGGCCCAGGAGTGGTGCAGACCCCCTCTGGCTGAGACCAGGAGGGTGGGTGCACGCCATCCCCAGGGCCCAGGATGGCCCTGGCCAGGCCCGGCCCTGATGTGTCGAAAGATTTCTGCAGGTCCTCGCAGAGCGGCCCCGCGTTGGCGGCCAGGCAGAAGCCGCTGAGCACGGAGGGCCGCGCCCACGCGGGGACCTGACGCTTTTGTATGGAGGGCCCCGGCCCCTCCTGGGGGCCCCCCAGGCGGGGTGCGAGCTGCTGGGGTCGGAAGATCGCGCCGCATCGCCGATGCATCGGCGATGCATCGGCGACGTCGGGATGGAGAGAAGCGGGCCCTGCATCGCACCGCGTCGACGATGCGGTGCGCTCCTCCGACCCCGGCTGCCGTGCCTCCCTCGGGGCGGCCCGGGGCCTCGCCAGAATCCGGGGAGAGGAGGCCTCCGGGAGGGCGCGCCCGCGCGGGGACCTGCTGGGCGGCCGCGTCCGCGTCGGCGCCAGCGCCTGGGGCCTTCCCCCCCCCTGCCAGCGACCAGCCGGAGCCCGTGGCGTCCAGGAGCACCGCGCGCCCGCCCTTCGCCACGCTCATGCCGCAGAGGACGCCGGCGCACCCCCCCGCGCCCGCTGAGGCCAGCCTCTCGGCAAACAGCCTCTCCACCTCGCGGCGCACACGAGCAGGTAAGCGTTTCTTCATTGGGGGACGCGGCATTTGGCTGAGGGGTGGGGGAGGGGGGTCTCAGCCTGGACCCGTGGTTCGTCGATCTCCCTTCGCCAGTCGCGCAGGCAGACGGGGGGGGGGTCCTGACCAGTCGCCAGAGACCAGCCGCCAGAAGCAGCCCAGATCTGGTCTGTGGCGGGGAGGAAGGCGGGGATCAGGGGCACGCGCCGATCGGCGAAACAATGAATAAATTACCCGAGACGTACCCACCTCCTTCTCAACCGCGCGGCGAATCTGAGCATGAACGCTCCAATTCCCCCCTCCGAAGAAACAAACAAAAAAAGCATCGCCAGCTATGCACGATCAGCGCTGCCCTCACCTCCGCCATGCCTCCCAGGAGCCCGCGAGAGTGGGGACAATTGTGCAGTTCGTAGCCTCCCCTGGAGCCGCGAGGTCTCGGCTGGATCCACGTGGCCCCCGACTCCGCTGGACCTCCCAGGATCCCACGAAAGTGGCGACGGTTGCGCAGTTCGCAGTCACCCAGGGAGATGCGAGGTCTCGGCTGGGTGCGCGTACTCCCCCGCTCCGCTGTGCCTCCCAGGGAGGCCACGAAAGTGGCGACGGTTGCGCAAATCGCAGCCATCCAAGGAGCTGCGCGGGCTTGCCTGCGTCCGCGTACTCCCCGACCCCGCCGTGCCTCCCAGGATCCCACGGAAAGTGGAGACGGTTGCGCAGTTCGCACCTGCGAGGTCTCGGCTGGGTGCGCGTACTCCCCCGCTCCGCTGTGCCTCCCAGGGAGCCCACGAAAGTGGCGACGGTGGCGCAGTCCACGGCCACCCAGGGAGCAGAGCAGGAGGAGGCAGGAGGCGGGGGGAGGAGGAGACGCGACCGCCGTGCCCTGCCCAGAGCGAGAACCCAACACCGAACTCCAGAGGCCCCACGTCCGGCCCTGGGAGAGAGCACGGCGACCCCCCTGGGCATCTCGCCCGCTTCCCCAGGACCGGGCTCTCCTCCTGAGCCGCTCTTGGCGGCCCTGGGGCAGGAAAAAAGCACCCCCCCGGAGGCCGAAAGGGCGGCCGGGCGGGGCCGGCGCAGGCCGCATGACAGCGCGGGCCACACACGCAGGAGGAGGAGGAGGAGGAGGAGGAGGAGGAGGAGGAGGAGGAGGAGGAGAGGAGGAGGAGGAGGAGGAGGAGGAGGAGGAGGAGGATAAGGAGGAGGAGGAGAGGAGGGAGGAGGGAGGAGGAGGAGTAGGAGGAGGAGGAGGAGGAAAAGGAGGAGGAGGAGGATCGAGGAGGAGGAGGGATCGAGGAGGAGGAGGAGGAGGAGGAGAGGAGGAGGAGGAGAATCGAGGAGGATCGAGGAGGAGGAGGAGGAGGAGGAGGAGGAGGAGGAGGAGGAGGAGGAGGAGCCCCCGCGGAGCCAGAGTTTCTGGGTGAGCGTCGGGGGGGGGGAGGGGGCGTCACCCCCGCCGACGCCACGGACCTCTGGAGTCGCCGATCCCCCGCCCTCTGGGGAGGCCGCCCCCCCTCTGGGCCGCCCCCCCGTCGCGCCTCCGCGAGGCACTCGCCGAGCGTGGCCTCGCGCCCGTTAGTCAGCGCCACCGAGGGCCGCTGGCGGTGGATCACCGTCTCGAGCTCCTCGGCGCACTGGTCCATCCACTCGAGGACCTCGCGGGTGGGTCGCGCCCAGGCGTGCTCGCGCCGCAAGGGCGTCCCGACGGCAGGCTTCTGGCCCTCTTCGGCCTCCGGGGGCCCTCGCAGGGCCCCCCCCCGGGAGCGTCGCACAGCTGCTCGGGAGGAAGAGCAGCCCTGGGGAACGGGTCGAGGTTCCTGTGGACCGCTCACTGAAACATCAGAGCATCGCATGTCTGGGAGTAGAGCGGAGAATGAAGGGGACGAGACAAGAGACGAGACGAGAGCGCCGTGCCCGCACTGAGGCGCGGCCCGCTGAAGAGCAGGCCGGAGAGACCGCAGCCCCGAGAGACTCAGAACTCCTCCTCCTCCTCCTCCTCCTCCTCCTCCTCCTCCTCCTCCTCCTCCTCCTCCTCCTCCTCCTCCTCCTCCTCCTCCTCCTCCTCCTCCTCCTCCTCCTCCTCCTCCTCCTCCTCCTCCTCCTCCTCCTCGTCCCCCACCAGGCTCAACTGGGGCAGTACGGCATGCCTCACGCCATTTTAGCGGCGCGCACAGCGGGGTGGGGGGAGGGCGGAAGGCTACTGGGAAGGAGGCTGCGTCGCAGAAGGCCAGCCCGACATCAGCAGACACGGCCTGCGCCTTCTGAAGAAGCAGGGGTGCTTTTGAGAAGCAGTCCTCAAGGGGCCCAAGGACACACAAATAAATAGACACAAATAACAGGGTTCCCCATATTTCCCCATACTTTCTGGGTGTCTGTCCTCCCCCCCACTTCCCATAGTTTCCCATATTTTCGGGGGAATCGACGATTAATTGTGTCTGTGTGTTTCTTTCCCTCCTGACACTTTCCACTGCCACACCACCTCATCGACGATCGTGGACGGGGGGGCAACGAATCAGCTCGTGTGCAGCCGTGTGCGCGGCGCTCGCTAGCGCCAGCGACGCCAAGGCTCGGCTTGGCTCGCTCCCTGTCTGCCTCCCTGCGCGCTGCTCGCACTAGCTGAGGCAGAGAGGCGGCAGGAACCTGCAAGCCGGCGGCGCGCACAAGGGGGGGTGGAGGGAAGAGGAAAGGCTTCTTAGAGGGGCGATGCACCTTAGAGGAGGGCGCCGGCCAGTTACGTCGATAGATGCGGATCTCTATAGATGCGGCCCGCGCCTTCTACGAAGCAGGGATGCTTGTAAGAAGCCTTCCCCCCTCCCTCCACCCCTTTTCTGCGCGTGGCTGGGCAAAACTCTTGGGCCTGGGAGGGAGGACGAGGGGAGAGAGGCGCCAGCAGCCGCATGTGAGCACTGGCCCCTCAGCGCGGCTGCAGCTGGCAAGCCCTGGCCATATCGCCCTTGCACACCAAGAGCGCGGAAAGGGAAGAGGGGGGAAGCGTGGCAGGCAGCAATCATGGCGTCGCGGGGCGGCTGGCATAGAGCGGATTGGGGCGGACGTCGGCCAGCAGGCGTCGGTCGGCCGCCGTTGGTCGATGCGGCGCGGAGGTCCACGTATCGAGGAAAGCGCCTGGCGGCGGGGGTGAAATCAACTGCTCCGCTCTCCCAATACCCCCCCCTCGGGTGCGGCCCAACCGACCCCTAGCACCTAGCAAGCCATCCCTTTCCGTGACGTCAACCTCGCTTCTCAAGCCTCCGAGCGAGGCGACGGGGACGTCAAGGAAAGGGCTGGTTTGCCAGGGGTCGGTTAGGCCGCCCCTGACCCTTGGGTGCTGGCGGCCTGTGGTTTCCCTGACAGCTGCAGCCATCCCCCTTCCCCTTCCCCACCTGAAGGGGCTTTGGGACACACAAATAAACAGACACAAATAACAGGATTCCCCATAGTTTCCCATATTTTCTAGGTTTGTGTCTTCACCCCCACTTCCCCTGTTTTCCTATCTTTTCTTGGGAATCGAGAATTAATTGTGTCTGTGTGTTTTTTTGTCCCTCCTGACCACCGGATGGTGTGCGAGAAGGGGGACCCTAGGGAACTCGGCTCGGACGGCCGCTGGTGGGGCCGGCGAGCGAGACGAGGAGGCGACGACACGAAAGGGTGACCGAAAAGGGAGGCGGAACGGGAGAGAGGAGGAAGAGGAGGAGAAGGAGGAGGAGGAGGAGGAGGAGGAGGAGGAGGAGGAGGAGGGAGGAGTGGAGGAGAGGAGGAGGAGGAGGAGGAGGAGGAGGAGGAGGAGGAGAGGAGGAGGAGGAGCCCCCCCCCCCTCCGCCCGACATGGGCCTCGGCGGGCAGGGCCACTGCGGCGATGCGCACGCAGGCCTTGCGGTTCGCCGTCCAGACGGACATGACCCCAGAGGGGGACATCGACAGCCGCTCCTGCGCGCGCCAGGATCGCGCGAGCGGGGAAGGGACGGGGACGGGGAGGCGAATGGGAACGGAGACGGGGGCGCAGCCTGCAGAGGGCTCCAACACTGCCCAAGTGAGACCCAAGAAATCCGAGAGGACCTCTGAGGACCTAAGACCGATCCAGGACTAGGGTAAACTCGAGTAAGGATGAACCGAACATCTCTGAGGTCCAGCAGACCTGGAGGATGTCTTGGGCGCTGCGGCCTTTTCAGAGCGTTCCAAAACGCTCTGAGAGCGTTCCGCCACGCTCTGGAACGGACTTACCCTCGTCCTAGCCCCGTCTGGTGACCCCAAGAACGACTCAACAGGGCCTTTAGAGGAGTCCAGAACCTCCTCCTCCTCCTCCTCCTCCTCCTCCTCCTCCTCCTCCTCCTCCTCCTGATCATCATCATCATCATCATCATCATCATCATCATCATCATCATCATCATCATCATCATCATCATCATCATCATCATCATCATCATCATCATCATCATCATCATCATCATCATCATCATCATCATCATCATCATCATCATCATCAGCAGCAGCAGCATCAGCAGCAGCATCAGCATCAGCATCAGCAGCATCATCATCAGCATCAGCATCATCATACACATCCTCATCCTCATCCTCATCATCAGGAAACAGTATCAGCATCAGCATCAGCAGCAGCATCATCGGTATCATCATCAGCAGAATCAGCATCATCCTCATCCTCATCATCCTCATCATCATCATTGTCATCAGCATCATTGTCATCATCACCATCATCATCATGAGCATCGTCATCATCATCATCATCATCATCATCATCATCATCATCCTCATCATCATCATCATCATATCATCATCCTTTCATCATATCATCATCATATCATCACCATGTCATCATCATCATCATCATCAGCAGCATCATCATCATCATCATCATCATCAGCAGCAGCATCATCATCATCATCAGCAGCATCATCATCATCATCATCATCATCATCATCATCATCATCATCATCATCATCATCATCGTCATCCTTCTCCTCCTCGCCTTCATCATCACAATCCTCATCATCAGCAGCATCATCAGTATCAGCATCAAGAGCATCATCAGTATCTTCATCATCCTCTGCATCAGCATCATCATGAGCATCATCATCATCAGCACCATCAGCACCATTATCATTCCCTGTATTGAGTTCTCGTTTTGGGCAGAGCACTGTTCGCGCGTCTCCTCCTCCTTCTCCTCCTCCTCCTCCTCCTCCTCCTCTTCCTCCTCCTCCTCCTCTTCCTCCTCCTCTTCTTCCTCCTCTTCCTTTTCTTTATGAATAACTTCTCCCTGTCGCACCCGGAGGTCAGTTTTTAGGGCGGGCCGGGCGTTTCGCCTGAGACTTCCTCACCATTTATGACTCTGAAGCTTAAAAATTGACAACAGCTTCACAAATGGAGGGCGGGTCGTTTTCAAAGTGTGACTCTCGCCTTAGCGCCGCGCACATTCGTTATACACCCGCTTTCAAAATGGGACTCTCGCCTTTGCGCCGCGTACACTCGTTTTAAGATTTGCAAGAGCTTCACGGATTGAGGATAACCCGTTTTCAAAATGTGGCTCTCGCCTTAGCGCCACGCACACTAGTTTCAAGCATGTGCAAGAGCTTCACGGATCGAGGGCGGTTCCTTTCCAAAATGTGGCTCTCGCCTCAGCGCCGCGCACATTCGTCCCTAAAATTTGCAAGGGCTTCACGGATTCCCACGACCGCCGACCCGCCGCCTGCGCCTTCGCCTGCGGCCGCGACCAAAGAAAGGATTCCCACGACCAGCGTACCAGAAACTGCGTCTTGGAAGGATTCTGGACCTCGTGGGTGCAGCAGTCACGTTGGTTTTGCGGCGTTGAAATCCCAGGAAGTGCCTTCTGGCACGACCCGGGACCGTCAGGGCGCAACACGTCAGGCAGCGCGCCCCCGCCCCAAAGAGGGCGGGCCCGCGGAGGAGGCGCCGCGCCCAGACCGGCGGCGCTGGCGGGGCCGCTCACGGGGCAGGCTCTCCTGACCGGGATCCCGGCCTCCTGCTGGGGCCTCCCCTCCTCCTTTCGGGGATGGACAGACCCCCCTTCAGCAAAACGTGGTTTCGTGAAAACGGCCCGAGGCCCAAACCTGGTGGGCGCGAGCCTGGAAGATGACGGCCACGGCGCCCTCTCGAGGACCGAAAACGGACAATTCACGAATCGACGTGTCACTGCTGGGGGTTCTGTCCACCCCCGATCCTTCCTTCCTCCCCTCTGTGCGCGGCTGACAGTAGTGTTAGGTCGGGCCTGTCCCCCTGCAGGGGATTTGGGGCGAAGCATGAGAAGTACGCAGAGGATGCTCCCAGAGTGCCCACAAGCATGGTCAAAACGTCGTCCCCAGACTGTTCTTTTACTATTTTTAAATCTCCCTCCTGTAGAAGGGACAGGCCCGACCTAATAGCAGTGGGAACGCGCCCGGTGACTGTGTGCCCCCATCGGCGGTGGACAAACCTCCCTTCAGTAAACCTCCCTTGAGTGGAAACGGCCTGGGACCGAAACCGACGGACCTGGCCCCGCAGAAACGACGGCCGCGGCGCCCAACCGGGAACCGAAAACGGCCAATTCACTAATCGACGTGTCACTGTTGGGGGTTCTGTCCACCCCCGATCCTTCCTTCATCCCCTCCTGTGCGCGGCTGACGGTAGTGTTAGGTCGGGCCCGTCCCCCTACCAGGGGATTTTGGGCGAGACATGAAAAATGCTTAGAAAATGCTCCCAAGGTGCCCACGAACATGGTCAAAACGTCGTCCCCGGACTGTTCTTTACTATTTTTGAGTCTCCCTCCTGTAGAGGGACAGGCCCGACTTACAAATAGTAGTGGAACGCGCCCGGTGACGATGTGCCCCCATCGGCGGTGGACAAACCTCCCTTTAGTGAGCCTCCCTTGAGTGAAAACGGCCTGGGACCGAAACCGACGGACCGGGCCCCGCAGAAACGACGGCCGCGGCGCCCAATCGGGAACGGGAAACGGCAATTCGCTCGTCGACGCGTCAGGGTGGGAGGTCTATCCACCTCCGACCCCCAGACTATTCCTGCACTGGTTTTGAATCTCCCTCCTATAGAGGCACAGGCCCGATTTCATAGTAGTGGAACGCGCCTGGTGACTATGTGCCCGCAAGAAATTTGGACGCCCGAAACGGGTACGGAAAAGATGGGTACAATGCCCAACAACAAATGTTGTCCCAAACCAACAGCGGCCGCTGTTGGGCAGGCAGCCTTCGGTCTCGAATGGACACAGGCCGCGGCGGCGCGGACAGCGAGTCCTGTTCAGAATGAACAGGAACTGCTGTTGGGCGTTGTACCCATTCTTTCCGTACCCATCTCGTTCGTGCCGAGGTTCTCATCAGCCCTGGGCAGTCCGAGAAGAGTTCGAGGAGGAGGAGGAGGAGGACGAAGAGGAGGAGGAGGAGGAGGAGGAGGAGGAGGAGGACGGTGGAGGGAGGAGGGAGGAGGGAAGAGGGAGGAGGGAGGAGGGAGGAGGGATCAATTTCGTTCGTGCAGAGAGAACGCGCGATCCCCCCCGGCACCGCGCAGCCCCCGCGCGGCTCCTGCACGGGCGCCGCGCCCTGGTCGGAGGGCGCGGCCTCCGGCTCGGAGGCCGGCGCGGAGACCACGGAGCCGGCCTCGGTGGAGGCGTCGAGCAGGTGGCTGGCCCAGCTCGGCAGGAAGAGGGGGTGGGCCTGTGCGGAGCATCGCTCAGCCCCAGCGATGGAGGAGGAGGAGGAGGAGGAGGAGGAGGAGGAGGAGAGGAGGAGGAGGAGGAGGAGGAGTAGGAGGAGGAGGAGGAGGAGGAGGAGGAGGAGGAGGAGGAGCAGGTGGCTGGCCCAGCTCGGCAGGAAGAGGGGGTGGGCCTCTGAGCATCACTCCACCCCAGCGATGCTCGCGTCGCGGACGAAGAGCAAGGGTCGTGACGGGAGGTGTTTTTCGCTGTCTTCGGCCTCGGGGGGCCCTCGCTGGGCCCCGGGACCTTCGGAGAACGACTCGGCAGGAAGAGGGGGTGGGCCTGTGCTTTGGACGCCCGAGATGGGCAGGGAAAAGATGGGTACAATGCCCAACAACGAGTGTTGTCCCAAACCAGCAGCGGCCGCTGTTGGGCAGGCGGCCTTCCGTCTCGCATGGGCACAGGCCGCGGCGGCGCGTACAGCGGATCCTGTCCAAACTGAACAGGAACTGCTGTTGGGCGTTGTACCCATTCTTTCCGTACCCATCTCGTTCGTGCCGAGGTTCTCATCAGCCCTGGGCAGTCCGAGAAGAGTTCGAGGAGGAGGAGGAGGAGGAGGACGAAGAGGAGGAGGAGGAGGAGGAGGAGGAGGAGCGTCCAGATGTGCGGAGCATCGCTCAACCCCAGCGACGCTCGCGTCGCGGACGAAAAGCAAGGGTCGTGACGGGAGGCGTTTCGTTGTTGTCGGCCTCTGGGGGCCCTCGCTGGGCCCTGGGGCCGTCAGGAAAGGACTCGGGAAGAGAAGCCAGTCCCGGGAAGGGGTCGAGACCTCTGGGGGTCGACGTTGTGAAAGAATCGTGACTTCAGGGGTCTGCGATCCTAGATCCCTGGCCTCTGGCCTCTCTGGCCTTCGGCCTTTTCAGCTCGCCCTTCTCCTCCTCCTCCTCCTCCTCCTCCTCCTCCTCCTCCTCCTCCTCCGATTCCTCCTCCATCCTCCCCGTCTTGGGGTATGACGGCTTCCCAAGCCCTTTCTTCCACTGCATGCTCCTCCACTCCATGCTCAACTCGCCTGGACATCGTTTCTGGATGGGCTGGTGGGGTTTGGTAGAAGCGTTCAGAATATGTGAATTCTGCGATATACACACATACATATACATGCATAGGTATACATTTTAAATCGGGGGGGGTCCCCGGGGTGGCGTCCCGTGGGGGGTCCCCGGGAGGGGTCCCGGGGGGAGTCCCGGGGCAGATACGACTCCCCCTCGGGCGGTTTGGCGGCCAAACAAAGCGCTGTAGTTGAGCCGAAGGGAAGCCCTTGATCCCTTCCCCGCCAGGGGTGGGGGGGGGTCCCTGGGGTGGCGTCCCGGGGGGTCCCGGCCGGGGGAGGGGTCACAGGGGGGGTCCCGGGGCAGATACGACTCCCCCTCAGGCAGTGTGGCGGCCAAAAAAAACGCTGCAGTTGAGTCGAAAGGAAGCCCCATCCCTTTGATCCCTTCCCCGCCAGGGGGGGCGAATCCCGGGGGTGGCGTCCAGCCAGGGGGGGCGTCCCAGGGGAGGGGTCCCGGGGGGGTCACGGTTTTCGACGGGTCATCGGATGTGCTTGATTTCGCCGTTTCGACGGGACCTCCAATATGACCCCACGACGGGCGCAGAGACCCCACGGACGCACACGGCCCCAGAAACCTCGAAGACGCCCGAAGTGGCTTGGAAGCCAACGCTGGAACAACCCAAGGGAGCACGAAGACGGTTCCGAGACACCCCGAGGGCTCGCTTCCTCTGTTGGTTCTGGGGACGTCCGCCACTTCCGTTTCCCTCCCTCTCCTGACCCTCCTTTTCCTCTTTCGGCCACGGACGCGCTGTCCAAAAAACCGTTGGTCGTCCATCGTCGTCGTGAGCGTCGTATTCGTCATTGTCGACGTCGTGGTCGTCGTCGTCGTCGTCGTAATCACGTCGTCCATGTCCCCCATCAGCCTTTCCGGGGAACCACTCCGGACGAGAGTATGTGTGCACCCTCACCCGTGTTCCTCAAACTCGTGAGCCTCCCCATGCTCGCCCTCCTCCTCCTCCTCCTCCGCCTCCTACTCCCACTCCCACTCGGCCTCGGGCTCCGCCTCTTCAGCCCCTTCCCTTTTCCCCTCATTACCATCATCATCACGTTCCTACTCCTCCTCCGATTTCTCCTGCCGCCGGCTTCACACCACCCCACCCTCCCCTCCCTCAACGACATCATCATCGTCATCATCACCGACATCATCCGCGTCGTCATCATCATCATCATCATCATCATCATCATCATCATCATCATCATCATCATCATCATCATCATCAAAATCCCCGCCATTACTTTCCTCCTCCATCTCCTGATGCTCATGCTTGCCACGCTCTACCCACCGCTGCCCATCCTCGTTGTCAGCCGTCCTTCTCCTGCAAATACGTCCCTGCTCGCCTCGCTCTCCCCCCTGCTCTCCTCCCCTCCTCGTCTTCCCCTCCTCGTCCCTCTCGCCCCCCTCCTCGTCCTCCTCCTCCTCCCCCCTCGCACCTCTTCCTCCTTTCCATCACCCCTCCTGCTCCCTAGCGTCCTCCGCCCTGCTCCTCAACATCCTCGTCGTCCTCTTCGTCGCTGTCTTCAGGGTCGGCGGCACCGGCCGTGAGGCCTTCGCAATATACGCGCATAGGTATACAGCAGAAATATGCATATGTACACATTCACATGTGCATATCCGTGTGTACGCATAGTATTTAGAAATAGCATCTAGATGTACGCATATGTAAAAATACATATTACTTCTGCATCCACACATGTATGATATGTATACACCTGTCTATGCGTATCTGTCGGGCGCCTTGGGATCTACGCGTTCGGCGGGCACCGCGTCCACGAAGGACTCCCTGATCGCGACCAGCGGGGTGGAGATGTGAAGCGGGATGTCTTTCGCGTACAACTTCTGCAGGTCGCTGATGCACCGCTTCAGGTGCTCGTCCCCACAGCACCCGAGAACGTTCTCCCCAGTGACCATGGCCTCGACGGACACGGACGGATCGGCCTTGTGCAGCAGACGGAGCCCACGCGCCAGCGCGTTCAGGTCCGCCACGTGCTGGGGCTCCAGGCTCACGCGCACGATCGCGAAGGCCTGGCTGCTGTACGGGGTCTCCAGGCAGGGCCCCTCTTCGAGGAAAGGCAAGCGGCATAACCGAAGGGGCCCTGGGACACACAAATCCGCCGGCCCCCTTGTGGGGCCACCAGTCTGTAGGCTGGGCAATCGCAGTTTCCTGTACCAGTTGCAGCTTCCAGTTTCCACTGTCACAGTTCTGCTTCTTGCTGCTTACAGTTCCTTGTTGATTTCTTGCTGCTTACTGTTCCTTGTTGATGGACCGCGCGAGGGGGGGAGGCCCAAAACACAATTTTTAGCACGGAGAACTCGTAATTATGCTCTGAATTGCTGGGGTGCGTAAAAATTAACACCCCTCACGCAGATCGGCGGAGTCAGGGTCCAAAAACACAAGGAATTTGCCACATTTCTGAAATCGGTGGCACCCCTCACGCAGATCGGCGGGGTCAGGGTCCAAAAACACACTGGATTTGCCACATTTCTGAAATTCGGTAGCACCCCTCACGCAGATCGGCGGGGTCAGGGTGCAAAAACATATGAGATTTGCTACATTTCTTAAATTGCCTGACACCCCTCACGCAGATCCGCAGGGTCGTCCAAAAACACACGGGATTTGCCACATTTCTCAAATTCGGTGCCACTCCTCACGCAGATCGGCAGAGTCAGGATCCAAAAACACCAAGGATCTGCCACATTAATAAAATTCGGTGGCACCCCTCACGCAGATCGGCAGGGTCAGGGTGCAAAAACGCATGGGATTTGCCACATTTCTGAAATTCGGTGGCACCCCTCACACAGATCGGCGGAGTCAGGATCCAAAAACAAATCGGAGTTGCCACATTTCTGAAATTCGGTGGCACCCCTCACGCAGATCGGCAGGGTCAGGGTGCAAAAACATATGGGATTTGTTACATTTCTGAAATTCGGCGGCACCCCTCACACAGATCGGCGGAGTCAGGGTCCAAAAACACCTGGGATTTGCCACCTTTCTGAAATTCGGCGGCACCCCTCACGCAGATCCGTAGGGTCAGGGTCCAAAAACACACGGGATTTGCCACATTTCTGAAATTCGGCGGCACCCCTCACGCAGATCCGTAGGGTCAGGGTCGAAAAACAAACAGGTCCCGACACTGCTTCACGGCGAAGCAAAAGCCTCATGACTTCGCTCTTCCATGGCCCATTCTCCGAGAGAGGGGGCCGGCGGCAGGGGGCGAAGCCCTCACGGATAAATACACACAAATAACCGGATTCCCCATATTTTCCCATACTTCCTGTGTTTTTGTCTTCCCCCCACTTCCCGTATTTTCCTATATTTTCTGGGGAATCGACGATTCATTGTGTCTCTGTGTGTTTTTTCCCTCCCGAGTCTGTGCAGTTGTTTCTCCTCTTCAACCTCCGCCGCTCCGCACAGCGTGAGGCACCGCTCCACACCCAGGTCCGCGCCGCCAGACTGACCCTCGACCTGCACCGCCACGATGGAGCCCGACTGCGCCTCGGGCTGCTCCCGCATATAGCGGCCCATCAGCGAGAACAGCCGCACGACCCTCAGGCTCCGCGGCGTCGCCCCGGCGCCCTCCCCGGCGTCCTCCCGCATGACAAAGACGTCGCTCCCGGCCCGCAGCGTGCCCGCGAAGACCCTGCAGATCCCCACGAAGTGCACGTCCTCGTCCCCCCTCAGCGTGTCGCCGGTCAACACCAGCCGCTCCAGGTCGGCCCCCAGGAACTTGGCCAGATATACCACCGCAGTCGCACCCGGGTCGCTGGCGCGGAGTCCCGCAGCGATGGGGCTCTGGGCCAGGGCGCCCTTCGAGCCCGCGGCGAACCATTTAGGGCAGATCACTGGAAGCCGGTCCGCCGCTGCCTCGAGGGGATTGGGCAGGTGCTGCGTGATCATGCTCAGCACGCTCCGCTCAAAGGGCAGCCACGCCGAGAAGAGCTCCCGGATTGCCGCGGACCCCGGCGAGAGACCATCAATGCCGATGTCCTTCCAGGCCGGGATCGACGCCTGCACCTTCTTCAGCACCTCTGTGTCGATGGTCCTGAAGGCTGCGTTATAGATCGTCCAGATCTGCTGCAACACAAACTCTACAAACATGGGCTTCGTCTTCGTGTCGCCCGCCTGGCGCCGCTGCGCGCGCCTGGTCTTCTTGTTGAAGGCCCACTCGCCCCAGAGCACCCGCTTCAGGCTCTCCGTCTTGGCGCCCATCTTCCCCGCGATCATCGAGGCGAAGGTGTCCAGGCGGAACGCCCAGCAGTGCGACGCCGAGCCGAAGGCCACGTTGCCGCGCTCGGGCGAGTAGCACAGCGCCTGCTCGGCCCGGTCCACCTCCACCCAGGCCGCGCTGAGGTCGACGCCATCGGCGGCCGAGTCGGCCGACGCTGCGGCGTGCTGCTCGTCGCCGCCCGGGTGTGCGTACACCTCCTCGGACAGGAGCTGCTGGTTGACCGCGTTCACCTGCTCGACGATCTTCAGCAGGTGCTCGTAGGCGTCCAGCGGGGTCATCTCCAGCTCGACGATGAGGCGGTCCACCTTGTTCAAGAACAGGCACGTCTTCACGCGGTCGCGCCAGGCCTGCCGCAGGACCGCGCGCGTCTGCGCCTCCACTCCCTCCACGACGTCCACGACGACTATCGCTCCGTCGGCGAGGCGAGCAGCCATGGAAACCTCAGAGCCGAAGTCCACGTGGCCTGGCGAGTCGATCAGGTTGACCAGATAAGCGTCCCCCGCGGGGCTCGCGTACCGCAGCGCTATCGCGCTGGACTTCATGGTGATCTGCCGCTCCTGCTCGTCGACCCTGGAGTCCAAGTACCGGACCTTACCGGTCGAGTGCTTCGAGATGATGCCATTCGAGCTGATGAGGTTATCTGCGCACGTGGTCTTGCCATGGTTCGGATGTTGCAAGAGGTGTCCTTGGCCCCCGAAACTGCCCCCAGGGACAGCAGGATCCCCTCCAAGCTGCACCCAAGGTACCCCTCGCGAGGCCAAGAGGGCCTCAAGGGCTCCCAGAGGACTCGAAAATGGGAGCGCGAAAAGGTACCGATACTGCTACAGATCTCACCCAGGATGCGTTCTGACGAGTGCTTCGAGGCGAATCCAGCCGTGGCGACTACGGCAGGGTAGCGGTATCGGCACTCGTTCCTGTGCTGAAGAAGCTGGGGGCACCTTGGGCCAAGGACGCCTGTCGCACCCACCGAATGGTCGACGTGGGCCAGGATGCAGATGTTGCGCAGGCGCTCCTGCGGCCACGACAGCGGCGAGACATCGTCCGCTGGGCCGTCGCCGGGCATCGCTCATGTCGCGAGGTCCGGCGCGCGGGACGTGGCCCCTCGAAAACACAGCTGGCTGCGGCCGGCGCACAGCGCGCTCTGGGCCTTCCGTGGAGATCACCATGGAGAGAAAGAGAACGGGGGCCACGACCAGGACCGAGCGCGGAAACGTCGTGCCCGCCGATCTTCGTCACCGTCCATCTGGTCACTGTCAATTCGGGGCTCGTCCTCGCGTATCGGCGACGGCGGTGGCCTGCATGGACCATGACCGAAATCGGCGTCGACGAGACCCCACGACATCTTGGTCATGGTCCCGGTATTTCTCCCCTCGGCCCCAGAGGAGGAGCGGACGAAGAGGAGCCGTACCTCCCTACCCACTGGGCAACCCGAGAGCCGGACCAACGGTGAACCAAGCAGCCAACCGACCGACCAACCGACCCACTAACCCCTAGCCAACAAGCCAAGCAACTGGCCGACAGACCAACCAGCACTTCAAGTGGATTCGTTATGAGGATGTCCCGCTAGGCGGGGCACAGAAGAAACAAACAATGTGGTTCAGTCCGGAAGAAAGTCTGACCGTGAATACTTGTTGTAACCCCGATCCGCAGGAGAATGAGGATGGTCGTCCGCTGGAGAGGAAGAAAACCAAGGCGAGGGGAAGGGTACGAGTACTAGCCATCGGACGCAGTCGTGAAACAAAGTTGCGAAAAGAAAACGACCACGCGGCTTCCCCCCCGCTTGCGGGCAGCATCACTGTGATTGGACATCTGCCGATTGCACCACCCTGCACTCTCACCACTGCTGCATGAAATCTGATTCGGGGAGACGCAAGACTCGAGTTCGAGGGACTCGGGTTGGCCCGACGGAGCTGTCAGAAAAATGACGAGGCCCAGAGAGAAACTTGACGCGCGCTCACGCTGCCAACATCCCAAGACCGTCTCAAGACGGCCCAAGACGCCCCCAAGAGGGCCCAGGAGGGCCCCAAGACGGCCCCAAGACGGCCCAAGAGGGCCCCAAGACAGCCCAAGAGGGCCCCAAGAGTGACCCAAGCAGGGGACCCCGAACAGAAAATCCCACCAGCCCTCTGGGCGTCGGTGGTTTAACGAGTTTCCTCTTCCACCCCTCCCTCTTCCCCTTCGGGGAGGGGTTTACCCCTCCCCCTACCCCCTCCCCACTGACCTGGACAGGGGGTTCCGCGGCGCGTTGGAGCGCCCAAGATGGCCCAAGACGGCTCCAAGAGGGCCTCAGGGAGCCCAAAATACCCTCCAAGATGGCTCAAGATAGCGCAAGATGCCTCAAGATGGTCCCCATGATGTTCCAAGACGTTCCAATAACTCTCCAAGACGGTTCCAAGTGCCCACAAGAGCACCATTATGATGCATCCAAGAGGCCAAAATGCTTCAAAACCCTAGGGAAAATCAATGTTTTTGGTGTTCTCACTTTTTCGCTTGCGATGCACATCCGAGGCGTCAAGATGGCTCCAAGATGGCTCAAGATAGCTCCAAGAAGGGCCCAAGAAAGCCCCATGACGGCGCCCAGAGCGCCGAAGAGCACTCCAAGAGCGGTCCCAGAGCGGTACAGGAGACAATTTTTGGAGTTCCTGGGGGGGGGCTCTAATTAAGGAACCCTACTTCCTTGACCGATGTCCTGCAAGATTGCCCCAAGAGCGCCCCAGCAGGGCCTTCAGGGGCGCCCAGACGGGTCCAAGAGGAGCCCAAGCCTCCCAAAATAGCTTCCCAAGAAGTCCCACCAGCCCTCTGGGCGTCGGTGGTTTAGAGCGTTTCCTCTTCCACCCCTCCTTCTTCCCCTTCGGGGAGGGGCTTACCCCTCCCCCTACCCCCTCCCCACTGACCTGGACAAGGGGGGCCGCGATCGGTCAGAGCGTCCAAAACGGCCTCGGCGAGGAAGCCAAAATCATTGATTTTACTGTGGTTTGGGCCCCATTTTGGCCTTCTGAGGGGGGGCTCTAATTTAGGAACCCCCCTTCTTTGATCGATCTCCTCCACGATGGCCGCAAGAGGCCCCCAGGATGCCCCAAGAGGCCGCAGGATGGCCCCAAGATGGCCCCAAGAGGCCCCCCAAGAGGCCCCCAGGAGGCCCCCAAGAGACCCCCAAGAGGCCCCAAGAGACCCCCCAGAGGCACCCAAGGTGCTCCCAGAGGCCCCAAGATGGCCCCAAGAGGCCCCAAGAGGCCCCCAGGAGGCCCCAAAGAGGATTCCGAACGGCCCACAGAGGCCCCCCCGAGGCACCCAAGACGCCGAAAAGCCCCTCAGGACGACCCTCTACTCGCCTGGGCGTCGTTTCTGGACGGGCTGGTGGGGATACGCGAAGCGTCTAGAATTCGAGCTTTCCGCTCCAAGTGGCCCCCAAGAGGCCCCCAAGAGACCCGGAAAGAGGCCCAACAAAGACCCCAAGAGGCCCCAAAAACAGCCCTCGGAGGCCTCCAAACTGCCTCAGGCAGGCCCCCGAGAGGCTTCTCACGAGATCCCAACGAACATCCGGGCATCCAAGAGGCCTCTGAACCACAACCCAGGCACGGTTGCGGGATGGGCCGAAGGTCACTACATATGAATACAAGCGTAAGTCACGCAGCACCCAGAAGCCGCAAGTCAAATATCAAAATTCAGAGACGGGCCCGCTTAAAAGCGTTGGCAAACCCGAAATGCGGCGAACTCAAGTCTTACGCAGACGTTCTTTTATTCCGGCTTGGATGTTTGGCCAAAGGGTGGAGGAGGGAGGGGTCTGGGCCTGGGCGGGTGCTTAGTCGATCTGATTTTGCCAGTCGTACCAACAGGCTGGGGAGGAGGACCCTGACCAGCCACCAAGAGCAATCGCCAAAAGCAGACAAGGTCTGGTCTAAGGAGGGGACTGACTACCTACCAGACCACCCCAACCCCACTCGAAGACCCGAATTTCGGGTTGGGGGGGAATTATGGGCTCCGCATGTGCTTTCTCGGTGTGTCCCCGACCCCCCACCACCGGAGATGGAGGGCAAAGTGAGGTCTTCGGGTTGGGCAGGGGTGGTTTGGTGGGTGGTGAGGGACGGGGGCCCGCGCCGATCGGCGAAACAATGAATGAAAAAGGCGACCACGTTCCGCGCTGGTGGCAGTGCTGACGAGACGCTGCACGCGTCGAGGCTGCTCCGCACGGGGCTGTGTACGAAACGATGCGCGCGTCGTTGGCTTCTGGCGAGGAGCACGGGGCGGGCCAGACACAGCGGCAGGGGCAAGAAGCCGCGGGAAGGGCATGGAACGGGGAGGATGACGAGACGGGACCGCGGTCAGGACAGGGAGCGGCAGCAGAAAAAAACTCGGGAGGAGGAGGGGAAGCGAGGCAGAGCGCTGGCAAGAAGAAGCAGCGCCAGGCAGAAGGCGGTGCCTGGACGGCAAACACACAAACGGTCGGAGCTCCGCACGGACTTTTTGGGTCTGCGCTGGACCCCACTCGCTGTCGCGCGGAGCGCGCCAGCGGCGGCGCCGGAGGCACCGCGCCAAGGGGGGGTCCAGCGCCGACCCAAGAAATCCGTGCTGAACTCCATGAAGATTATCTTGGTGGCGACTTTCTTCTGCGAGAGGACGACGACAACAACGACGACGACGAGGACGACGACGACGATGCCGATGGACGACGACGATGCCGATGGACGACGACGACGACGACGACGACGACGACGACGACGACGACGACGACGACGATACCAGGAGGCAGAAGCGAAGCGAAGCGCTGGACAGGAGGGCGCGCTGGCACTGGTGTGGCTCCTGGGGCGCGGGGCCGCCCCCCCGGGGGGCTGGCCGGGCGGCACCTCCACGCCGTCCTGCGTCAGCAGCAGGAACCCGTTCTGCACGCGGAGGGGCAGCTTGGCCGTGGACCACAGCAGCACCTCTTCGGGTGTTGCCAGGAAGTGCCCCTGACCCAAGGGGCCCCCAGCTTGTCGCTGCATCTTGGAGCCCCTGGGGCCCTCTGGGCCTCGTGAGGGGTGCCCTGGAGGCCGTCTGGGCCACCCCGAGAATCCTGGGGGCGCCTTGGGCCAGGGGTACTTCTAGCAACACCCGACCTCTGACGGAATGGTTTTCCAGCACCACTGCCACAGTGAGTATCGGTTGACCGATCCCCAGTCCCAGCGGCGTGGCCGGGGCCCCACGGGCCGATTTGCCCCTCCAGATGGGGATATGGGCCGTTCCCTCCGGGCTGCGAGGGGTGCATCCCCAACGGGGGGGGTACTTTGGTGGGGCTCTCGAAGGGGATGGGGATGGGGATGGGGATAGGGGTCGGTTAAACGATACTGGCACAGGTAGAAGTAGGAGAGGGAGGAGGAGTCAAGGCGCCGGTAGGTCCCAAGAGCTGTCGCTTCTGACTCGTTTGAACCTCTGCGAAACAACATGGATGCAGCGGCCTATCGTAGAACTCCACGATCGGTTTGGCCGTGGACCACAGCAGCACCTCGATTCGCTACCAAGGTAAGACGAAGCCAGAATCGGAACAAAATCGGATCGGGATAAGTCGGGAATATCCGAAAGCCAGTGGGTCTGGAGGATGCAGGCGATCGCTGTTTATGTTTCGCGATAGCGGCCGGTAATTACCGGTCCTGGCCGCCGAATTCCCCCCCCAGGGAACGGAACGATTCATGCTGACCTGCGAGTTGTCTTCTTGGCTATTCCTGACCATTCCCAGACGGCGCCGGGGCGAAACGTGACGCCACCGCCCCCCCCCCGCTCCCCTCCCCCCCAGTAACGCCCGTTATCGCCCGAGACTGAAAAAAAACGCAGTCCACGTCCACGTGGCGCCGCGGTCGTTTCGGAGCGTTCCTGAACGCCTGGTACTGTGGATGCCATGACAATGGACACTCTAACAATCCTATCGTTGAGTTGAAAAGGTGTTTAAAATGTGTGAAGCATGTTCTAGAAATGCTCCAAACATGTTTTTACAGTTTCAAGACATGTTTTACACATCTTTTAGACAGCTGGAAAACATTTGGCCGCATGCTTCCTCTCCGTGAATCGACTTCCACACAGTTATCGCCC